GCAGTAGGGAGCTCCCTTCAGTCCAAGACGCGACATCAATAGCCACACACAGCTCCTGCATCGTTGGATCGGAAACCCATCCAATAATATCTCCTATTACAATTGTCGATGAGTTCTCGAACCAACGAGTCAGTAGCTGTGTCATCGGCCTTTCCAATGCCCCGGACTGGACTGAAGAGAGCTCCTTCCCACCCACTGCCTTAATATATTATGTGATTAACCCTAAACTTCTTCTGCATGGACAAATTCAAGTAGCTAGCTAGGGTTTTCTTCTTGCAAAAAAATTTTTCCACCCTAGAGGCCGGATTGTATATATATAAGTGCAAAATGGGAGGTACGAGGAAGATAAGAAAGTGGCCTGGATGTATATATGTATACATGTCTGTGTTTGAAGTTTGAAGAGGCCGGGAGAGAGAGGGTTGGGGACATGAAGATCTATGGAGGGCTGAGAAGAAGATATGTAGCAGTCTCCTCTATCCTCTGCAAGCTTGGCCATTTCAATTGTACTTCAGATGTCAAAATTATAGACTAGTTGGTGTACGTACTACTTCTTAATCTCACTTTTTTTTTACACCTGAAAAGACATAAACTACAATTACTTCCTGCTTCAAATAAATAGGTCCAAGAGTCCAAGACCAACAAAATACCAATTAAGTTCATTACTCCATATTAAAATTTTGAGAAGAAACTTCAGCAATAACACAACACGCACTATAGTGCTTGTTGAGCGGATTAGGCGGAGGCCCGTAAAAGGTCAAGTTTGGTACCTTGTCTCTTGAAATTAAAATATTTGATGGTATAAAGAAATAAAGCTACTAGTTATAGTTTTTGGCGTAGTGGTAAGTTTTTTATCCTAGAAAGTGGTATCAAAGTCAGGTCACGGGTGAGCAGTTAAGACTGGGCTAGTGCTAGGAGGAGGGATTGTTGGGCGGAGACCAGTAAACGCCAAGTCCAGCACCATGGCTCTTGAAAATGTATAGCGATATAAAAAAAAATAAAATTACGTCTTTGCTACTAACTATAGCTTTTAGCATAGTGGTAAACGTTTGATCCTAACGTTTTCAATAAATCAAATATGAGGTGCAACTAATTAAGCTCAAACCAATATTATTTTTGTTCAAACAAAAATTAAAATTCAAATGTTAGCTCGGTTTTAAGTTAAAATCCAAAATAATTAAATTACCCTTGCGACATAACTGTGGCTATCCCAAATAAGAGGTCACGGTTCCAACTGAGTGGTACTCAAAGAAAATAAATGACTCCTTGCATGCTAAATGCAATATGGGGTTGATATTTCAATAATTAAATTTATGAGTAGGACTGATGAGAAAACTAGGGTCTTGTGATAAGAAATTGAATTCGTACAAAACACTGCTTACACATCCAATCACACAGCTGTATAGCTTCACCACAAAAGGCAATACGTGGGCACAAACTTTGGGCACGAAATCATACCATTCCATATTATTCATGTCAGTTTTTTTGGCTTCTTATGGTTCCAATTATGAGAGCACAATTGAAAAGTAGAAACCCTAGAACGCTTTTTAATTAAGTTTGATTTTTTGTTTTTCATTTTTTTTCTACAATTTATTAATTTTCATTTTCCCTAACAACAACAACAACAACAAAAAAGCATATCCACCTTATAGTGACCTGACCTTCTACAACTACAGCATAAGTAAGAGACTTCATTAGTTTTTTTTTTTTTTTTTTTTTTTTTGAACAAGAGACTTCATTAGTTGATTCTTCAATTCCTCGGTTCTTTTGGATGATGAACCTTGCTATCTATGGGATGTTGAGTTTCCCCTCATATTATTCTTTCTCATGAACTTCTTGACAAATATGATAAATTGCTCATCAGTTAAAAAAAAATTGAATTTATCTACTGATCGTTATGTTTCTTAAATTAGAATGTTAACTAATCCTCAAATGTTGAAGTCTGATCTCTGAGGCCAAATTGTACTACTTTTAAGGTTATTTATTGGCCAAATTGAGTTTAAAATTGCTTTATTTCAATTTAAAATGACCATATATGTGATAAAGTGTGTTGATGAACTAATTTTGGTCATTTTGTGTTTTGAAGGTAAAAAGGACAATTTGGAACTAAATTGGATATGTTTGAAGTCATATTGGCATAAGGGTATGTTTTGGAAATTGTGAGAGGTCAAGAAAGTGAAAACGAGTGAGTTGGAAGTATCATGGGATGACCTAGATATCCAAAAGAGCAAAGGAAATGAAGAAAATTGGATTTTGGAGTAAAGACCAAGCTTCACGAGAAGCGTTGGGAGCGTAACACTTCTCGTAATAGTAGAATTTCTGTTGTGTTTCTCTATCAGACGACATCTCGGTATTTTAATAATATCTCATCATAGGAATGTCCAAATAAAGTGATTCAAACGGCATTGGAAAGATAATTGAAAGGGATACAAGTTCTATGAAGACCATAAAGTCTAATTTGAAGAGCGGGTGCTATATTGTCACGAGTCCAGTTACGCGCCTCGTGATAGGCCAAATCTCGGGCTATAAAAGGAGAGAGTTAGTTTTTCAATAGGGGGTTAGACATTAGTTTCATTTCTCCATTCTTAGAACCCTAGATAGAAAACTTCACTTCATTTTTCCTTTCAATTCCAAAGTCTTAGTTAGATTCAAATTCCATTTAATACTTTTGGATCAAGCAAGTGTTGAAGATTCAATTTCATCTCTAAATAGCTAAGTCCATTCTAATTTCCTTTTGTTATAATTTTACTATTGTGATTGTTTACTTTAATAATCTATTATGTTGTGTTTGATATGGAATGATTCTTTGATCTAGAATCTATCTTTATTTCTACTTTGATCATGCTTGAATAGTTATCTTTGGAAGGAGGTAGGGGTGTAGATTAGGTTAATAGAGATGTGACTTTGAATTGGTTGATAATGAGAAATGAGACTTGGCTTTGAGATATTAATCACCATCACCTTTGATAGAATGGATGAATTTTGATTAACCTTACTTCACCTTTGAGAAAAAGGAAGTTTGGGTTGTAAGGACCAAAGTGTTTGATAAAATACCTGATAGACGCTCATGAGCCATGAGAATGTCCTTGTGTGTTCTAAGATTGTGAAATGACCTAGAGAAAGACTTCCTCCCGATTAAATGTCATCCATCATCAAATCAATTGAATCTTACTCTTAATCCCGATTTGGTTACACTTGCTAGTTGCTAGATGAAATTTAACCCAAGTTCCTATTCCCCTCCATCTATGTCATTTGCTATTTGTTTTTTGTTACACTTCCTAAACTTAATCCAAGTTCCTATTCCATCCCCTCCATCTTCCCTATTATTGTTAGTCATTTCATTTGCTATTTGTTTTGTTACTTGTCATAATCAATCTTTGTTTGGGATATATTTTTATAAGAAGATTGTGTACCTTGCGCTTCAGAGACATAAGCTTAGCTCTTATCACCAATCCTCTGAGAATGATATCTAGTGTGAGGATACCCTCTTACATAAAAACTCACTCAAAAATACAATTCCATCATCCCTCGCCTCCAGATCAAACCTTCACACCCCTCAGCATTTTCTAAGGTGGGAGGACCAACTCCTGGTGCTGACAAGGAGCCACCACATTGGATGAAATTTTCACACAGCAGTTATCAGGCTCGATCTTGAGTCATTACCTACAATCTAGCACTTGATCTTGAGTACCAATTAAGCTACTTGTGGTTAGGGGTAGGAATAGGTCAGGCCCCTTCGTAGTGGCCTAAGGCCCGGCCTATTTAAGGCCTGCATAGGCTAGGCTTGTTTAGTAAAAAGGCCAGGCTTGGGCCTATTTTGAAACCTATTAAATTAAACAGGTTAGGCCTATTTATACCAAGCTCGGCCTTTAGGCCTACAGGCCTAGCCTATTTACACATATATATAATTTATTTGTAATATTAAATTAGTAGATATTCTATTTTATACCTAATATATTTTTATATTACAATATAATTCCAAGTATATATAATAATCAAACCCTAACACTCCACCTCCAAAATCGCATTCTAAATTCTAATTCAACTATAAACATTGTTCTTAATCCTATTATAAGTGTTCTCATTGTTTAATTTTTCTTACTGTTCAATATTTAATGAAGCGTCATGACTTAATTATGTGAGTTGATTGTTAACTATTTATGAGATTATATAGGATGACAATCAATAATACAATTGAATTCATTCCTAAACAAGTTAACAAGCATGTTGAAGTTGTAACTTGTTTTATTTTATTTTATATATGTTTTAATACTATTATGCTTGCATTGTGGGCTTGTGGCGATATACTTATGTAGTTATATATTAATTTTGTATTAGCTAGGTATATTTCTAAAATTATTTAGAAATACTTATTAAAGTTTTTAAAAAGACTTAGTATATAGGTTTTAAATAGGCACAAAGCAGAACTTACTTTGAAGCCTTTTTAATGACCTACATATTAAACAGACTTTTAAAAAGGATTCAGGCTTGGCCAGACTAATTGTAGGCTCAGGCTTGAGCCTAACAAAAACCTACATACAGGCTCAGACCCAGGCACATGCCTTAGATTTTCGTAACAGATCCAGGCCTAATTTTCTAAAACTCGGCTCGCCTTGACCTATTTTCACCCCTACTTGTGGCAGCAATTAAAATGTTAACTACACTGGGTAATGTTAAAACCTTTTCAAGGGATCAATTTAAGCTTTAGCAAAGGGAGGCTTCAAACTTGCTTGAAGAGTCTTATTGTTGACGCTAATTGCCCAACTCTAAAAGAGTTGCTTAGTCTAAATTTATATAATTTTATCTTATTCATATGCTTTTCATTTTAGTCATATAAGCGGACAACAAAAATTGAACATTTACTTCTGTGCATGCGTAATAAATAAATTGGAAAAATGTCAAATAGCCCCCAATTATGTTCCTAAACGTTTAAAAGGTGCAATTAAGTTCATCAACATGTTATTTTAAAATATCAAAGTCCAAAAACTGGTTAGTATTACAGGTCACTATGATTCTAGCGACACTTTGGCCAACTTCAATAATCCTCCAAGGACTAACATTGACGACCGACGACTATCGAGTGGTTGCATTTGAAGAAGGTGGCCTGTAAAAGGCGACCCATGCTAGATGGTTTTCTTCTAATGGAGAAGGCGACCGACGACCTTTCCATAGCCTTCGGTCGCCGGTGTTAGTCTTTAGAGCATCGTCGGAGTTGGCTGGAGTGTCGCCGGAATCCTAGTGACCTACTATTAAAAGTCACTAACCGTTTCTTGAGTTCCGATGCACCTGATGTAGTAAATAAATGGTTTCTACTACTCTATACAGTACTAGGGTCGGTTCCGGTTACAGTCCCTATACCTAGTCTGCTTATTGGTTTAAGTCTTTGAGCTCGGATGACTTGATAGTGGATCAGAGGTTCCCGGGCTAAAGGTTAGTGTGTAGAGATTGCCAAAAGTCCCCCTTCCTCGCATTTAATGCGGTACTTATAGGAAGTGTCAGGGAACAAGTACCGGTCTCTTAGCATGCACAGCACATGAAACGCATGCAAAGGTCAAGGCCGACGGTCTAGGCTGATCCGCCCACGTGCTCGCAGACTCTTGTCATTGTAGGATTCACTATCGTGGTGTTTAGCTGATGTTCTAAGTATCGAAGCAATGCCATAAGTGCTGCTCTCCAGTTCATTAGCAAGGCCCTCTCAGTTTAGGATCCGAGTCGGGAAGGCACGAAATCAGGTCGGCGTCGATCGGACCCGGCTATACAAACATAATGGGTTCAATACCAGTCTAATGTTGTATATGGTATGGTCAAGGAATAATCCCTATCAAATAGCCCCCTTAGCCTGTGGCCTGACGATGGTTCACGTCAGAAGGGTTCGGGCTAAAAATCTGAGCACAAACCCTCAATGTGTAAATCATTTTGTAAGTGCACATCTTTGACCTCCAATTCAGGGCTCAGCTATATTAATACAAAATGCAAAATACTTCCCCACATAATGCATATCTTTTCTACTAGCAATGCACAACTTTTACGCTGGGAATGCACAAAGTTGTACAACATTTTTTAAGTGCACATCTTTGACCTCCTATTCAAGGCCTATGATGCACAAATCAATGGCCTATGATGCACCCCCTTCTTAAAATCACAAATTCATAAACAAATCTAATCAAAAGCATACTAAAAAAAAAAAAAAAAAAAAAAAAAAAAAAAAAAACATGAAACCATACCGAGTAGACACGCTATCTCATTTGATCCATTTCCAAAAACACACACAAAAATATAAAATTTGAATCAAATGATAGCAAGACTTCTTGTGAAAATTGTGGACTATTATGAACTATTCATCGTGGATTATCATTGGCCAGAAAATAATGGGAAACAATGACGAGTTCAATTTTATAAATATTACAAATTTTGAAAGATTGTAATATTTTTTTAATTTCCTCGTCTTTTTTCCTTTTATTCTTTATTTTTGTTTATTTTTTAAATATTAAATTTACTAGATCAATGGTTCGTATTTCTCTCAACTTCTTACATGAAGACTTGTTCTCATGCGAGCTAGACCCCGCTAGGGAGAGAGAGAAAAGGGTTCAAGTGAAAACAAGTTCCTATGTATAGTAAGAAGTGAGTACTAATATAATCTATTCATTTAGGTAAATCAATGGTTAAGCATTGTTGAAAAATAAGTGAAACAATGGATAAGGTCAATTTTATAAATATTGTAAACTTTAAAGTTTTCAATAATTATAAAATTGACCTCATAATTTATTTATTTTTTAGTAAAACCTTCAAAACCATTAATGAAATTAAATCTGATAGGTAGCTGTAATCAAGTCTTCTTTTTTGTTTTAGATTTTGGGGTTTATTTAGAAATGCATTAGATATTGTTATAAATTGCACTCTATACTATTAAAATTGCAATTTTGAAATTATTGGAGAAAACTAACTAGAATGCCACAGCAATATTTTCTTTTTTTAAATTGCATTAGATCCATTTGATTTTTTTAGATAGAGGGATGAGATTGACCAAATGAGAACATGATACTCTTGTAAAAAGTGAAGATTGTTCTTAGCTGTTTATTAGGGTTAATTAATTGTTGAAAGTTTTAGTAAAAAGAAAAATATTGGATCAATTTTATAATTATTAAAAATTTTAAGGGCGATATTCATTTTATAATTACTACAAACTTAAAAGTTAATAATCTATACTATCTATACTGTATATAAAAACAAAATCCTAAAATTTTAACTTCCCGCACAATTCCTAAAAGATCTCACATCCTAATAAAAGATATTGATTTCTACTTTTCTATTCGTACAATAATTCTGGGTTAAAATTCTATTCTAATATTATAAAATAGTGTAATCCAATTCCTATTGTAATCTATACTATATATAAAAACAAAATCCTGAAATTTTAACTTCCTGCTCAATTCCTAGAAAATCTATCTTCTTAATAAAATATATTGATTTCTACTTTTCCATTCGTACAATAATTCTGGGTTAAAATTCTATTCTAATATTATAAAATAGTGTAATACAATTCCTATTGTAATCTACACTATATATAAAAATAAAATCCTGAAATTTTAACTTCCCGTCCAATTCCTAAAAATCTCTCTTCCTAATAAAATATATTGATTTCTACTTTTCCATTCGTATAATAATTCTGTGTTAAAATTCTATTCTAATATTATAAAATAGTGTAATACAATTTCTATTGTAATCTATACTATATATGAAAACAAAATCCTGAACTTTTAACTTCCCGCCCAATTCCTAAAAAATCTCTCTTCCTAATAAAATATATTGATTTCTACAATAATTCTGGGTTAAAATTCTATTATAATATTATAAAATTGTGTAATACTATTCCTATTCTATCTATACTATATATAAGTGTTGCTAAAATCGCGCCGTTGGCCGCGGCGAGGAAGGCCGGAATCGGCCTCCTCCGCGGCCGCCTCGCCGGCTGAACCAGCTATTAATTTTTTTTTTTTAAGTTGTAAAGTGTCAAAAGTTCGGCAAGGCATAAATTTTGACTCGGTTGTCCGTTTTGGACAAATGTTTTTTTTGAAATCGCGTATTTTTTTGAGATCTATCCACCGCAAACTGCTGTAGGCGGTTTGGCCCACCAATTTCTAAAAAAAATGCTTTATTAAATAGTTTCTAAGATAAAACTATGAGAACCTTATGTTTTATTAATGAATTTTTAAATTTTTTAATTAAAAAATTGTCCCTGCATTATTTAATAATCTCTTTTATAATTGGTCAAATTATTTAATTATGGTAAATTAGGGAATAATTAATGATGGTAATAGAAATCCTAGAAGAATATAGAATTGAAGAATATTTAATTATTGTTATATTATTATTGTGACTCACGGAATACAATACAAGAATATTTAATTATGGTTATATTATTATTGTGCCTCACGGCTATTATATACTAACAGAACTTGAAAAGGAACTAATAATAATAATAATAATAATAATAATAATAATAATAATAATAATAATAATATAAATGGTAAAAATAATACTAAAAGTAATTAAGTGTTAATAATAATAGTAAGAATATTAACGTAAGAATTAGAACATAGAATAAATCGTAATAATTAATAACTATAATCTATGATTAAATTTGGAATTGTCAGGAAAGATAAACGACCTCTGGTAAAATTAATTCTTAAATAATTATATATTGATTTAAATATTCTTAATATATTACAACAATTTCATTTTGTGCATCGCACGGGTGAAAATACTAGTGATAATAATATCATAACCTTTAATTTCTTAAGATGGAAGCCTCCCCCATATGTGTGTGTATGTATATATATATATATATATATATATATATATATATATATATATATATATATATATATATATATATATATATATATATATATAGGGTCCGGATCAAGTGAGGACCTAATCTTAGGTGAGGACGTGAGGACTAATCTAGACCATTAAATCAGAATGATGTATGATTGAGATTAAAAGAAACAAATCACATGGATGAAGAAAACAAATCCCTTTAAAATATTAAAATATATAAATTTATGGTAAATCAGTCTTATTAAAAGATGTGCATTCCTATACAAAATATTGTGCATTCCTATACTGAGTGTTGTGCATTAATAACTTCATTGTTGTGCATTCAAACCCCGCCAAAAAATCATACAGTGAACATCCAATGTTCTACGATGCATTGAACTATGTGCTATAATGCACAACTCCCTAGCCTATAGTGCAGAGCTTACAACACTAGGTTGCACAATCAGCACACACGAATGCACAATCGTACTACCCAGGCATTTATACATATACACGACAATCCAAATATAGACAATATTATACTCAAAAGAACAAGCGAAAAAAAATAAAAAATACTGATTAGTTTGCATGGGCGAATACTCAATCAATGATGAAGAAATCGCGGCTCCAAATTGCAACGGTGATGATCCAAGAAAATAGGAAACAATTTGGCCAAGGATTATACATGCGCTCACACTTAAAAAATAGAAAAAGACACTATTATCCCACTTTAACAAAAAAGATCAATCCATGTCATCTCAAGAACTCAAATCTGGACCATCCAAATAAAAAAACAAACGCACAAGATTAGTCCTCACGTCCTCACCTAAGATTAGGTCCTCACCTGATCCGGACCATATATATATATATATATATATATATATATATATATATATATATATATATATATATATATATATATATATATATATATATATATAACGGATCAGATGTGATGGGGTCTCCAGGTAATAAATAGTGTAAAATCTCATTCATTGATTAAATTCAGATCAACTACTCAGAATGAAGGAAAATTTTAAAAATACATGGTGGCAATTTGGTAATTTATGTAAGTGCATAATTTTGGTCTTTGGATGCATTGTTGTGCCTTGTAGTGTACATTCTTCCAAACTTTCACCTCTATGACCAGTTGAGCTACCCATGTGGGTGCCTTGTATTGTACATTGTTGTACCTTCTAGTGCACATTTTTAACAAGCTGATTCAACAGACCCGTTGCTAAGTGCATATTTTTTTTTATCTTTGGGTGTATTATTTTTGCCTTCAAGTGCACAGTATTGTGACTTGGAGTGCACATTGTTGTGTCATCCAGTGCACATTATTAACATGCCCAACACACCCGTTGGCCGTTGCTAAGTCCCATGAAAGAGGGAAGGAAACGGGTTCAAGAAACGGCTTCAATAATCCCGTGAAGACTAATAAACATTTTGTGCCTTACAGTGCACAATTTTATGCTTTCCAGAGCTCATTGTTGAACCTTCCTTGGCATATTGTTGTATCATCGAAGTGCATATTGTTTTGCCTTGGAGCGCACATTGTTGAGCTTTGCAGAGCATAGTGGTGTGCTTTCCAGTTACACTATTGTGCCTTCCAAGAGATAATTTTGTGTCTTCCATGATTTGAACAGAATACAAAGACAGTAAATCAGATATGGTTTATTGGAGTAGATGACATCGTGTAGATTAGAAGCACTATTTTTTTTATTTTAAAAGTAGTTGATCTAGACGGATCAAAGGCTCAGATTTCTTCTCACTTTCGCACTCCATCTTCACACCAGTTGATTTTCAACAATTCAATCAATTGGAGTGTTGTTCATTCAAACACACCATGACTGGTAGACTTCTCATAATTTAGAACCAAGCTGGTTCTTCTCCAACCAATTCACAATCCAAGTCTAGCTACCCTACTTGCCTACACAACTCTGCGTATCTTTAGGCTCTGTTCAAAGTACTCCATGATCTTAGAAAGCTGGATAATATTCCAAAGAATGCTAAAGTCTCTGCATCACATATTCATTCATAATCATAAAAGTATTAAAATAAAAGGCTTATGATGTTACGGATGAGCCAGATGACTCGAAGTATCCACTTTTCCGTTGGGTAATACCTGAATGGCTGAATCATTCTATATTTACTCTTTAATATCATATATATATATATATATATATATATATATATATATATATATATATATATATATATATATATATATATATATATATATAATTTAATTATGACCAAATGAGAACTAGACTTGTTGAGAGAAGTGATGACAAATTTAGTCGTCAATTTAGAATGATAATGATTAGAAAATAAAAGATAGAACCAATCAGATTACATAAATATTACAAACATTCAAAGTTTGTATTATGTATGAAATTGACTCAATTTTTTCTTATATTTTCTTTATTTTTCAACCGTTAGATCTATTATATCAATGGCTAGCATTTGTCCACGTTCTAAAAGGAAGTCTTTTTCTCATTTTGAGTGGAAAATTAGAAAAACTTAGTGAAAATGGCATATATGTTGTTGGAAAACTAGCTCATTGTACTGTTCTCATATGTTGTTGGAAATTTAGTAAAAAATTGACATGTAAAGTGATTATTTTGAGACAAAATTTTGAGTAGGATCGACTTCCGAAAATAAGCTCCAAAAAGTTGGATTTATTTACACCCATGACCCAATCGCTCCAAAAATCGGCAGCCTAGACAAGCTAAAATTTTGAATTTCTTTTTTCTCAACAAAGAGTTTGAATTGTGTACCTTTTCGAGAGTGGGGATGCAAATCACGATCTCAAAATGAACTCCACCCACAATTTGGATGCGCCAAACATTCATCCAAAAATTGACTGTCCAAACAAGCTAAGATTTGGAATCTAAACTAAGATCTGTTAGTGGGATCAAGATCTGCCAGCATACTAGGAATCCAATGAATTGCCTAAACATCTACCGACTAACCAAGGGATCTAGTTTGACCAAAGACCGTTCAGTTGGCCAACGATCTTCTGTTTGACCAAGGATCTTCCCGTTAAGACTTGCTTTCGTTCTAAAGTTGCGATCTTTCAGAATAGTAGTCTTTAACCTCTTTCTTCGTTTATGATATGTTGAAATTAAGTGAGGATATATGGTTGTCTAATGTAATGTCCCACCTAAGCTACCAGATTGTGATAAGCTAGCTATGACTATCTCCAATATAATTCAACTCAGGGTTTTCTTCTCTCTTCAATAACAACACCAACTTCCCCCTAGACAGTTGGTACACCAGGCCAACTGATGAGCAGAAGAGCTTACAATGTCTTTTTGGTATAGTAGCTGCAGCTTCATTAATTACAACATAACTCTTCCTGTTCTATGTTTGGTAGGGTAGGGGTCTTCTTCTTCCTGTTCCTCTCAGGACTTGGGCCAATATAATGGCACCTAGGAAGTAGGAACCACAATATACTTAGGAGTTGTCATTTCATTAAGTCCAATACTCACTGACTCACTACTGTTGTATGCCTATTTTAGGGTTTTGATGAAGTTTCATTTTTGAGGTTTCAGTACCACTCTTGTTTCTCCTTTCGGAATATTACTGTATCCTAATTCAAGGATGCAATATTGACACGATGCTCTTGCTCTACCATGTTTCTTTTTTTCATTTTTTTTTTTAAATATATCTAGGGTTTCCACTGTTGGACACAGTAACTAATCCCCTCAGCTGGATTGTAGGCACCTCGAGATAGCTGGTCTGGAGATTTAAGCCTGCTTCATATCCAAAACCAAAGATCAAATTAAACCCTTGACATTTGGTTAGGAACACCCCATGGATTTACATGCATCAAGACTTTTCAAGATAACGTATTTGCTAACATCATCTTACATCAAGAGTTGAAAGGAATTAATACCGGTTACTCAATGTAGTAGAACTTCAAAGATAATGCATTTAATTGCTTACGTCAACAGCATACACTATAGGTTGAGTAGCAATGCAACTTGCACACAGTAGCAAAGCTTTAAACACCAAGACTCTTTGTAGCACTAAAACTCTGGAGTAGCAAAGTATACTACTAGGCAGTATAGTTTTTTTTTTTTTTTCTTTTTTTTTTAAATTAACACAAAGTGTTTCAAAACAGCATGACTGGACCAATTGTAGAGGTTCTTACTAGCAATAGAATTTTTTTTGACAGGGACAATCAATATATTCTTTGTTTAAGCAACATATGAGGTATCAGGCCGGGATTATCCCAGCCAATATTGGCTTTGCAAGCTGATGTGGCAAAGCCACATATACATTTTTTATTTTTTTTTAATGAAATAGGTTTGCAAATTTGCACTACAAGCAAATTTGTAAACCCTGAAAAAGCTGCCGCGGTTGTACTGCCGCGGCAGCTTTTGTATATATTTTTTTTAAATTTTATTTGATTTTTGTACTTTTTAGTATTTTAATATTATTAATAATGTTATTTTAATATGTTGGGCCCACTTTTGAAGGTTGATTGGATTTGCAGGGTTGTAGTGTGAATAGTAGATGATTTGCAAATGGGATGATGTGGAAGTGGGACCCATTTTTGAGAGTGGGAGATGTTTGCAGGGATAAGGACAGCCTCATTACTGCTAAAAGTACATGTTGGCACCGTACCGATGAAAGAGGAGGCCATATACTTTCATGATAAGTAAAGTTTCTTAGGGAAGATTAAAAATCAGATCTTATGGACAAATTACACACAACAATTAAATAAAAGTTCACACTTGTCAAATACAAACAGATTAATTTATTACAAGTTAATTTGTAATGGTTTTGGTGATTATAAAAATGCTAATTACTCATAATTTTACCACTCACAAATTAATCACTCCATGATGTGGCAAAAATCCTAGGCATCAGTTTTCCTTTTAAATTTAAATTTTAATTTTACTAATAATGTCTAGGATTTTGTCACATCATGGAGGGGTTGGTTTGTGAGTGCTAAAATTAAAAGTTTGTAACACGATTGTTGTGATCAAAACATGCATAAGTTTTTTTCACTTGTAACTTGTTGGGTGAACAAAGTTACTAGTAAAATCCCAAGAAAAATAGTGGAGTAGAGGAATTATTGCATCCTCAGACCACTATAAAAACTCTCTATCTCATTTACTTTAAGAATTTCAATTTCTTATATATTATACTTATTTATTTAACATTTTCAAACTTATTTAAGTGCTAAGTGTGCTAACAATGCATTAACTTTGACCAAAGTTTTTCTTGGTTAATTAGTTAATATTTCAACATAGCTTTCCACATAGTGTTGAGAAATTAACGATGAAGTCAACCTATGAAGGTTTGATTAACTTTATTTCAAAAAAAAATTAAAATTAAAATCTCAATAAGTCTATTCAACCCCTTCCCACACCTTTCTAGACTTACTCAATTCAGTTGAGACCATCAAAAATGATAAAACCATTTTTGTTAGTCTATTTGAACTCAAGAACTGCCCCTTTAAGTATCAAAAGCCAAAAAAATTATGGCAACATATATCTAATAAATAGTAATATATATATATATATATATATATATATATATATATATATATATATATATATATATAAGTAATAAATCTTGGGCACTCACCAATTTGTGGTGAAAATTAATCCATGAGCAATTACTTAAAAAATAATAATAATAATAATAATAATAATAATAATAATAATAATAATAATAATAATAATAATAATAATAATAATAATCAATGAGTCAATATTTGTTTGTTTTAATTGATTATTAGCATTTTTATTTTTTTTGTAACACATGTTGTGTTTGCTATAGCTGCTTGTGACATTTTTTAATATGTTGCGATGAATTAATTAACCTCAATTGCAAGGTGATGAAACAGAGAAATATGATGATAATTGCATCTAATTAAGACCATAACATACAGAAACATGAAATGAGAAGAGACACTATAGAAATTGAGGATAATGACAACCGTATAAGCTGCCGTGAGCGGTGAGCGAGCCAACATCTATGATCTAACAAACACAAAAGCGAAATGTGTTTGGCGTATATTTCTACAAACGCATTTCCCTTTTGCGTTTAACTTTTAAAAAATAAAAAAAATAATAATCATAATTGACAACACAAGTAAAAATGTGGATGGCTTATTAGGCCGTCTCCAACGAAGACGGCAAAGATTTGGCACAAATTTTTTTCCAACGAGACGTTAAATCTTACGTCATTTTAGTGTTTGTCTATAATATGGCACTGCACTGTAGATGAACATTATTTTAGTGTAGAAGACTTAATTCCTTTTGGGTCCTTGGTCTTTTTTGTCAATTCTGATGGTATCGCTATTTTATTTTAATGTATTTACATATATTGTTAAATACTTTAACATAAAAATAATTAAAAATAAATTATACTACCTCCGTCCCATTTTATGTGTCTGGTTCGATTAATGAGGCTTGACTGGAGTTATTTTTAATTAATTTTTCATAATATTAAGTTTATTATTAGTATACAAAATTTATATATTTAGAAACTATACTGAAAGTACTATTAAACACAAAAATCAAATTCAAAAATAAGTTAAAAATACTAAAGAAAATAAACAAAGAAGAAATAATTAGTTTGACCAATGAATAGTAAATAGGACAGATAAAATGGGACAGAGAGTGTACCATTTAAAAGATCTCATCAAGACGATGAAAACAAGACTAATATTATATATAGATTAATTAAAAACTAAAGTACATAAAATATAATTTTCACTTCGTAAAAGATAAAGAAGCGCATTATGCGCTTCGTAATGTGATTGAGCATTTGTGGGAACGATATGTTAATTTTGAAAATTAAATGTAATAGTTGTTATATCTTATATTATTGTGGAATAAAAATATTATTTGCATTACAATTAAATTTTATATTAAAAAAATTAAAGTTTTAATTTATTAGAAATAAATTATTTTAATGTAGAAATAAAATTTGGTTTAATGGGTTGGAGATGAATAAAATTTGGTGTAAAAATATGATGAGAATATTCTTTGGCAATTTATATCCTGCACCACGGCGCGCGTTGCATTGTGCGCCAAGATGCAAAACTACGTCGTTTCAATTTTTTTTTTTTTTTTAATTTCGCTACACAGTCTTTGGCAGTTAATTTTCCTTATAAAAAAAATCTCATGTTCAAAAATGTACATAATGTTATACTAGAATACACATAATTGTATAAATGAATGTACATAATTATATAACAAAATGCACATACTCGTTTTTAAAAGATAACACACATAATCTAACATAATACATAATAAACATAAACTTTTAACATAATACACATAAACTCTTAACATAATACACAAAAATTTCCTAATTCGGATGTATATAATTATATAAAAAAATGTACATAATAAAAAATATACATAATCATGTCAACTTCCTACTGCGCCTCCCAAAACGACGTCGTTTTGGGAGGCGCGGGGCGCACAGTGCGCCGTAGTGCAGGGTACAACAATTGATATTCTTTTTGGTGTAAAATTTAGTGTTTGTTTTGGGAGGCGCGGGGCGCACAGTGACCGTAGTGCAGGGTACAACAATTGATATTCTTTTTGGTGTAAAATTTAGTGTTTTGGATTGGAGATGGCCTAAATACGTCACATGCACTTCTGACTTTTAAAAAAATAGTTTGGGTTATAAGGTTTTTTTTTTTTTTTTTTTTAATTACACTAATATAAAAATAGAAAAGCTTTTTAGAAATATGTGTTTAGTTCGGTCAGTATAAAAACGCATTTCCAAAAAACTTACTCCTAATTTCCTAAGGTCCCCCAAAAATCAAAAGTTCGCTATTTTTGTCCACAAAGTTTCAAATTCATCCTACTTCAGTCATTAAACCCCCTCTTTTGAAAAGGTTTCAACAAATTTCCATCCAGATTTTCACATTTTTTGCAATTTGCATTTAAGACATTAAGACATGAAGACTGCTTTGCTCACAAACCTGACTAAATGGAATTTCAACAAAATTTTGTTTTCTTCAAGTTAAAAATAATAATTAATACATTTATAGTAGTATGTGTTTTTCAAGCAAGAACAGTTGTAACATCTGCTGCTGCTGCCGCATCATCAGATTCATCAACCATGAGCTCATCACGAATAGCAGTTGTAACATTTGCATCAAAGGATTCGTCAACCGCGAGGTCATCACGAAATAGGAGCTTAAGGTATGGAAGGACTCTTGGAAGCATAGGCAGATCTGCTGCATTTATACTCATCATATCAAAAGCAATGCAGGTTTTGTGCATGTGGGATTCATCAAAAACTGGGATTTTAGGGTATCTTTGGCTGAAGTGAGTAAGGATGATACGATATGCTCCAGCGCTATCCCCCACTTCAATAGCTTCCTTTGTTGTGCTGTGATTTCTTGCTATTGCCTCGTCCACCATGCCATCTTCAAATGTAGCCTGCAGTGAAAGCAAATTCAATACAAGCTAGCTGAGGAGAAAAGCATCGAAATTTACATTGAATATCTCCATTAAGGCGTAAGTGGCCGTGCCCTCTCATCCGAGAGCTCGGGAGTTCAAATGCCCTCCCATATAGAAAAATCAATCTGGCTAGCACTTTGCCCCTTAATTGGTGCGGGCCGGGCCGGTGCGAATGAGGATTAGTCTGAGTATGGTACATTGGTGCGGGCTTAAAGGTGCCTCCTACAATTAGGGTCTGCTCAGGAGCCTCATGGTATAACCGAAAAAGAAAAAGAAAAAAAAAAAACAAAAAACAAAAAAAAACTGATAAAAGCATGATAAGAAAATGGCTTGCCTCGTGTATGAGAACTGTTGCTCCACGAGAAGCTTCAACCAGATCTGGACAGGGCCTAGTATCACCAGAGTAAACAATCTTCCATCCCGGTATCCTTTTCCCAGCACTATTAGTTCTATCAGCAGCTTTTAGTGCTACTCCATAAGCTTGTGGACAATGAATAACAGGGAAACTTATCAATGCTTCTAATCCTGCTTCGTTTAATACACCCTTCAGGTTCTTCAAAATTGGGAAGAACACAGATGAGTCAACTGGACTGCCTGGCCTCTTCCAATAGCTCTGCATGCGATCCCCTTTCACAAATAGACTAGAATCAGTCTGTTGGTCCTTTAGCCCAGGTGCTTTCCCTCTTTCCACATCGTTGTCTTCATGTGACTCAAAAGCCTTCAATGAAGATTCTGTGGTATTCCTACAATCAAGGAATTGCATATCTAGATCCTCAAGTCGTTGATACGCATCAAGATATCTCTTAAGCTGTCTAGGGCCAACAACAATCAAAGGCTCATGAGCCACATCTTTGAGTAATTCACGTCTAAGCGCAAGTATTCTTGCAAGACCAGTATGATGATCAGCATGTATATGAGAAATCCAGATACACCTCAAACCTCTAACAGCTTCGTCAGCACCTTCAATGCCAAACCTGTTCCAAATAAATTGCGGAGTCAATGTGTTGAGATGAAAAATAAATTCGTTAAAGAGAAAATTTACAAGTTTCTGAAGTACCTTCTTTTAAGCTGTCCCAGTGTCCCTTCACCACAATCTAAGAGAATACTTCCCTTTGAGAATAGATTAATGAAGATAGAACTAACATTCCGATATTTTGAAGGCTGGGATGACCCAGTCCCAAGAAGAACAATCTCCATATCATCTCTTGTTATGCCTTCCAAACAACTAGGTAGTCCATTTTCATGCAACCATGGCTCTTCATACATAAGTTCTGTATCTCGCACATATGTCCCATTGGTTTCTCCATTCCCGTGCCACAACTGGGTAATGCGTTGAGAAGCATCTTCAATCTCTGGAATTCCTGAGATTAAATCACTGATTATTTCTGGGGAAGACATCATATTTGGAGTACAAGATTTGTCTAGTCCAAGCTGTGCGTATGGTCGAAGATGGAACTGTTCCACAAGAAATAGTAAATCAGCCTCAAGTCTTAATAAATTTTTAGGATTTCGATTATGTTGGGGAAAGTGGATCTATTGATCTCATTAAATTAATACGGAGTAATTGCTTTAAAATATTAATTTTTGAAACTTTATATTATAAGAAAAAAACATTTTTCAAAATAGTTTTTGTGTGCATTTGTCAGTCTTGGTACTACACAGCCATTATCAGATTGTGAAAAATGGAATGTAGTGAAACAACTTAACTCATTCCATAGCAGCCAATTCATACCTTGAGGAGATTCTCAGCAGAAATGCCTCCAAAAATCTGTGGCAGAGATCCCTGTAAAGAGTAGAAACAAACAAGTTCTGAATCCACCAAAAGTACCCAAAAATTCAGGCATTTCAGTCGCTCTGATCATTAGCATTTTAATTACTACACCCTAGATGCAATTTCAACTTACTGTACCTCGCTTGCAAACTCTGAGGCTGATGGCAACTTTTTCATCTGTTGAAGAGACCAAAAACCAGGGGCAGGAAATAACTGTGGACACAAGTAATTGAGTCGAGTTGCAGCTCTTGCACTAGATCTTAGAATTGGAATCTCAATATTCTTCCTGCAGAGTGTACAAGAATGAACTCCAATAAAACTTAAGCAGGAATCACCACTCAAAAGGTATCTGGATTTGAAAGAAAAATATACAAAGTAACTCACAGCTCATGCCCAGCCATGATATGCTGAGCCCCACCAAATCTTGACATCCACTGCTGATACATGGCTGTATTTGTTACTGTTGAAGGACTAAGGTGAATTACACAATTTACAAGTTTACAGTTTTCAGAAGCATTTGATGATATATTTGAATAATATGGGGCAAGAGATTCCAAAGCAAACAACTCCTCTAAATGAGACATGGTTGGGCAGTCAACAAGGAACACAATAGGACCAGGAATAGAAGGGCCCAGAACATCACTTGGGTGAATCTGCATTATAGAATCAATGCATGTTGAAAATGATGACAAAAAAAATTAAAATTCAATAAAAGATTTTTAAAAATACAAATAAAAATTTTACCATTTTGTCTTGTGTATCTGACAACACTGATTTTCCATGTTGCAATTCACGATATTTTGGTCCAGGACTCAATCCAAGATCAGCAGCCTTTTTGGGGTCAAATTTCCCCTTAATTTCTGGCAATTCACATACATAAACAACAGAAAGATCACCAGGCTTCAAAGAAAGCTCAGTTCTTGAACTAATACTGGGTTCTGAAAAAACCTTTGTTCTCTCCTCAACACTAGCTGTTAAAGCATTAACCTCCAAGGACCCTTTTGAGTGTCTGGGTCGCAACAGAACAGATGATATTTTAACAACTTCGTTGTCAATATGAACGATGGGATTGTCAAACTTCTCTGGTGCAGGTATAGTGGCATTATCACCAGGTAGCGGCCCAAAGCTTTTTGTATGGACCATTGCAGCATTTGGGATAAATGATTTCATGGCCTCAACAAGATATTTAAGATCTGAAGGACCCCAAACATTGACCTTTAAAGAAAACACTAAAAATCAGTATCTTTGTGACAAATAGTGTAGAGCAGGTCAGACAAGCTGCAGAGCACTTACAGACAAACCTTCTTCTCCTATGCCTGCTAGAGTTAATAAAAGGCCTGCAATTGAAATACATAGTTAACTGTTCTGGAAGTTCTTTTACAATGCCTCAATGATGAAACCCTTAAATCCATCAGTGGAAGCAAGAAATCTGCACACAAAAAGTTATAGCCAACCTGGAAGTCCACCAGCAGTTTCTGAGCATACACGCGAGAGAAATATGTGATCAATCTACAAAGAAAAGGGCTATAAGTATCACCCCTACACAAAAAGTAAGATAATAGAAAGTGAAAATCCAATATATATATATATATATATATATATATATATATATATATATATATATATATATATATATAATAGACTATAAGAGACTAGCTAACCTTGGACAACTTAATTTTATGCTCTGTACAAAATCGTTGCAATCCCTGGATGTAGTATTAACCACCAAGAGGTCAGTCTAGAAGCTTAGAGTTTATTCAATATATGAAAGCTAACAATTACAGCATACTATTTAAATGCATGAGAATAGGAAGTAGTTAGGTTAACAAATTTCACACACCTCGTAAGTGTCATGCAATGAAATTAAAGTTACTTCTATACTCCTGGTAAGGTGGAGAACATAATAAAGTCCCATATATAGAAATTAAATTAGTTTCCTTGAATCTCCTTTTATAAACACAAAAGTGACAATCAACTTTGTATGTAGCTTTTTTTGGTTAATCACTAAACCACTATCGCATTACACATCACTACATCAGTGGTTAGTTTGTTCCATTATCCCATTTCTACAACTTTCTATGTTAGTGGTTAGATTAAATCCTTAAATCACACTCTGTAAATAGTAAGAGTTGTTAGCCTTGAAAGGGCGTGACAGTGAGAAACTTTGCATTATTGGTGTATCAGGGCTTTTTGAGGATTGAGTGACTTTATTGCCCATTTTGTAGCCCTCAATCTAGTGAAATATAGCATCACTGATCACCATATTTGCCTGTGGAGCATGCATGTAACATCCAAAGAACCAAAACACAGTAAATTCTTGATCTCCAATTTTTAGTTTTATTATTTTGTAACTCCAGTTTTTGTTCATCTATGCTGGGTGTTTTTTTCACAGCAGATGACTTAGTTATGCACACTGTTACCACTAAACCAGTTCAAGGTATAACCACTACATTGATTTTGCTCAGTTGTGAATACTTACTTCTCCAGCATTAAATATAAATCTCTGCTTATCAAAGAATAGGAGGACCGATGGTGATGTATCTTGCGTGTCCATACCAGTCCCAAGAATCTGCAATATAGAGTTACAGAGAAAACAGAGCTTAAGTCAAATTTCAAATTCATGAAGTCATAACTACTCTAAATTAGGTCAACAGATTAAAACAACCAAAAAAAAAAAAAAAAAAAAAAAAAAAAAAAAAAAAAAGAAGAAGCAAACAAGCACACGCAACTTCGGATTAAGCATGAATTATCTAGAATAAGACATTGCTATTTATCACATCTCAATCACACTACTACGAAGACAACCATAAAACGCAGAAGCTCAATCCAGTTTCGTGCAGAAGCACCAATTCAATTACATTAGAACAAACTCATAGCAAGAATTATATTACCCAAAATGCATGAAAATATTTATTTAATAAATAAAAGCCAGGATTCAAAATTGATAGACACAAAAGGAGTGATGGATATTTACCTGAACATAAGAAATTGTATTTGCAGGATCAAGTTTGCGGACTTTGCGCTGAAGATTCTTTTTTGGCTTATCACTACCATCTTTACCTTCCGCCCTTCGTTTATTGAACCCAATATGCTCCGACCCACTGTTACTGCCGCCTTCCATTTTTTCAACCTTGGAACTGCTATGCCTACGGCCACTGCTCAATGAATTGGGATTGTTCTTGCTGTTGCCGTACCTTTGTTTAAGTGAATATGAAGAGAATGAAGCGAAGAGAGGAGGGGGTTTAAGGGAGGTTTTTGGAGGTCTGAGCCTGAAGAGACGAGAGAGCGAGGGCGAAGCGGAGAGAAGGTGATGGTTGGCGGTAGAGAAGAAGAGGCGAAGACTAGTGATTTCGTGCATTTTGCGCCTTTTTGTAATTTGAGCCCCCACTCCTCTCGCCTTCGAGCGAGGGTTTTAGCTTGACTTCATCGGCCCATGTCAGGGTTAGGGGCATTGCAATTCTGTAATTTTGTCTCTGCCGCATTCGGGTCGGGTTCCTATACAGATTTCAGTAGTTTATAGTTTATACCCCTTTATTTTTATTTTGAAAAAATTACACTTTTCATCTATAAATTATAGGGTAATGGTAGAATTCATCCTTGAATGTTAGTCATGCTCACTTTTCATCCCTAAGTTATTATTAGCGTTGCACTTTTCGTCCTTGAATTATAGAGTAATTGTAGAATTCGTCCCTGAGTGTTGGTCATGCTCACTTTTCGTCCCTAAGTTATCATTGACGTTGCACTTTTCGTCTCTAAGTTATACTAAAATTGTAAATTTCGTCTCTAATCACTACTACATAAATGGTATACTACGTCACTTAATAGACGGAGGTTTTTTAAATAACCACCGTCTAATATATTTTGTTATACTACGTCACTTAATAGACAATGATTTTTTAAATAACCGTCGTATATATCTTAATTAATTCTTTTTACGTCATACACTTTAAATAACCACCGGCAGTTTTTTTACACATACACGGCGGTTTTTGAAGTGTCGCGCGTGTAAGTGACTATTATTAATTGTTTGACTTGGTTAAAAACTCAATATAAGTGTTTGGTTAATTAGCTCTTTGTAACTCCAAAATACTAAAATTTAAAAAGCAACTCAAAGTAACATTTTCAATTAGTTTTTTTAGAAAAGAAATTATACCAAACAGATATCAGCTAACAGCTAATTTATCAAATACATTTTTACAATCAGCTAATATTATCAACTAGTTATACCGCTAACAGCTATCAGCTAACAACCATTTACTAAATAGAGTCATATATTTTTTATTAACGAAAAAACTTGTGTTGCTGGACTACCTGGACATGTGCTTTGGCATCCTAGCTTGCAAAGGAACTAAATTAGCTTAAGTTAACTATAATTGACCGGCTAAAAGGCCAATAGACAGCTTTTTGTACGTGTGTGTCAAACTTAAAACTTTGTGATTACTAAATCCGTATCTAGTCAACTTGGATGGTTTCGTTGCGAACAACTATATACCAACAATATGTGTAAGTTTGGTAAATGTAAATAATACGGAGTAATATATATACCTGAATCCAAGTACAGATGCAGGGCATATCCTAAGAAAACAGATGTCAAACCAAAAGAAGGCAATTTAGCCTTTGAATTCATAAGTTTGTAAGTCAAACAAGAGAATGTAAACTAAACAAAACTAGCACCGGTATAGAATCACTAACTATGATAAAGACCATTTCCAACAAGCTGGTGAGAAATGCTTGTTCATCTTTGGGGCAGCAAAAGGGAGAAAGATGGGGAACATGATCTCCAAACCTAAATCGCCAAAAGGAAAGAAAGAACTGCACGAACGAGGAAAAGAAAGATGCTCATCCTACTAAACGGAAAGACAGCTGGGCACATATGAATGGGAGCCCAAAAAGTAGTTAAAAACAACTATACGGGGCATATTCCGGAATAGATAAGAGCAAAAAGAGGGAACCAAATGCAAGGGATAGGTAGGGGGTACGGAAGGACCCAAAAACGAACAACTACACGGGGTAAGGGGGCATACCCCGGGAGAAAAAGAAATAGATAAAATATAAAAATAAAAATAAAAGAAAGGAAGGAAATCTTTCAAAGGGGGAACAAATACAGGGGCATACCCCGAATCAAAAAGATCAACCCAAGGAACAAAAAGAGGGTAGGTCATCTCCTGCATGCTCTCTTTTCTTCTCCAGCTATTAAGTCTTCCACTAATCATGGCTTCACAGATCATAACCCTACCATTATGGTGCGAAGCTTTCGTGCATTTTGCGCCTTTTTGTAGTTCGAGCCGCCACTCCACTTCTTCAGGCCCTTTCACCTGCGAGCGAGGGTTTTAGACTTGTAGTTTTACTTCATCGGCCCATGTCAGGGTTAGGCAATCGTTATGCCATGCATGGAACCGTGTTCACCATTCATGGTGAACACGGTCCCAACGGTAACAACACCGTTATCTTTTTTTTTCTCTCTCTTTTAATTAACCGTGCGACTTTTCTTCTTCATTTTCACATTTCGCGGTTTGCAAGCTTCTTCAACACTCATAAATTATGAATATGCAGGCATGGATTTATAAATGTGCAGTTATGAAATTATGAATATTCTTTTATGAGATTATAAATTTGCTGTTATGAAATTATGAATTTTCTGTTATGAGATTATGAATTTACAGAAAATTCATAATTACATACTGTAAATTAATAATCTCATAATAGAAAATTCGTAATTTAATAAATGTAAATTCATAATCTGAACATAAAATGCAAAACGCCGTTAACAGCACATTAACTAATTTTTTTTTCTTTTTCCGTAAAAACGACGCCGTTTGGGTCCGTGTTCACCATTCATGATGAACACATTTCCATGGCATAATTTGCGAGGGTCAGGGGCATAGCAATTATGTACTTTTGTCTCTGCTGCATCCGGGTCGGACTCCTTCCTATACAAATTTCAATTTCGAAAATGTTGTAGTTTATGCATTTACAAATATGTCAATTATTAATATCACCTTTGAATTATTAGTGATATATAAATATTTCTTCTCAATTTTTAAAATTTGACATATATTGCGCCTCCTCTAATAGAAAGGAGGAGAAACATTGTTATCGGCGGAAGGAGAACAAACGAAGAAAGAGAAATGGAAGAAAAAAATGTGGTCTTTAAATCAAGAAAACAGCGGATAACTACATTTATACCGCTAATAATTTATGAAAAAAGACAATATATGTCACGTTTTGAAAATTGAGGACAATACACCACTAATAATTTAAAATTAACATTGATAATTGACATATTTGTGAAGAACATATATTACAACTTTTCATTTTAGTATTTTATAGTTTATACCCCTTTATTTTTTTTTTGTTTTTCTTTTTCCTAGTAATTTTCTTCTTCTTTTTTCTTCTAATTTCCATTCTCATCCATATTTATAATTTGTTTTCTTTTGCCAAAAGTGATAGAAGTATTTATTATCTAAAAACATAATAAGTTTCAATCTAGGTTATACCCTTAATTTATATCTTTTTTTTTTTAAAAAAAATGTACCTTATGCTATAAAAGTTATATTACATAATTTTTTGGACAAAAATATCCCTACAATTATAACTTCTGTTATCTTCCCACATTATTATTATCATGTACATGCATACATATTATTTTTTCTTACATCCTTCAATGGTAAGTTTGAATTCATTTAGATTTTAATTAAATTTTACCATAGTTATATTTAGTAATTTATCATTTCTATAATTCTTACCTCAATAATATTAATATGAATTATGCAATTATACAATATATATACACACACACACACACACACACACTATTATTTAAAAAAAAATTAATATAACTAAAATTTTAATATTTAATATTAATATTGGACATATATTTTTTGTGCACCGCGCATATAAAATACTAGTTGTGGTAATATGTATCATCAAAATTATTACCCAGATAGGACCATGGGACAAGAGAAAGAAGAAATGTTTGTGGACTCGAAAGTAGGAAGGCGCAAAAAATGGAGCTGCAACCAAAAAATGTTTGAACTTGTGACTTGTTGAATAATTACACAGCCTAATTAAGCCACTTCACATCTTATATATCAAAGGGAATTAGGTCATACTTATTAGTAATGAGAAAGGGCAATGTGGTAAATAGTGGGGATGAAGATGGGAAACGTGCATGGCCAATAAGAGAGAGCAAATGAGAGCAAGGCCGTGCACTTGGCAGCAAAAGAGGGGGGTCTTGGCACTACAAAAGGGACCTCATGTCTCCCTTCTAAATTAAACATCATCCCTTAATTAACTACATCATAGCTAGATTGGTAGTGTTTGGCCCCAAGTTCAATTCCTTATGAGTCCACATTATTTCGAGCGGCAAAGTATGCTGTGGAAACGTGTCCATCGTACATGGTGGACACGTTCCCAAAACGAAAACGACGTTGTTCTAATTTTTTTTTTTTTAAAAAAAAATTTGAAGAGTCGTTAACGACATTATTTATTCGTTACATGAGGATATGTTCATAATTTTATAACTATACAGTTTAGAAATTATGAATCTACAGTATAGAAATTATGAATCTACTGTATTTAAATTATGAATCTACAGTTTAGAAATTATGAATCTACAATATTTAAAGAGCTTTTTCTCAAAATGGTCCCTCGACTATTGCTCATTCTCAATTTTACATTTCGACTTTCAATTGCACCAAATCTGGTTCCTCGACTTTCAAAAACTCACCCAATTTAGTCCTCCGTTAAGTTTTCCGCCAACTCAGTGTTAAATGGAGGGCATTTTCATCCGTGTACCTATTGCACACCTAATATACACTAAGAAATAGTGGAGGGACCATTTTGGGAATAGTCGAGAGACTATTTTGAGAAAAACTTGTTTTATCTTTTTTATTTCATTGTGTTTATTTTTATTTTTAGACTCTATCAAATTAGAATTTTTGTATATTTTTCACAAATATAAATAGTTAAAATCCCACAATCCAACATCAAAAATTTTAACTTTCTCTATAGACTTTTTTTTTTTTTTTTTTAATGTCTAAACATACACATTTTTCCACTATTCTTATCAAGTTTTACAATAAGTTTCATAAATTTCATAAATACTCATATATGTTTTATTTTTATCTTTTTAATTATGTGTTATATATATATATATATATATATATATATATATATATATATATATATATATATATATATATATATATATATATATATATATATATATATATATATATATATAATCATACACTCATACTAAAAGTTCAATAGACAATCAATCATTATGTATCACATTAAATATTACTTTTATCATTGAAAATAACATTTTTATTTTTTGTACATACCTTGGTAATAAAGTTTCGCTTTCAAATTTAAGTTTATTAATATTCATATATAAAATACAAACAAACTTCAAAATGACAATAATTTGTAATTTTGGTAAAGGATGAAGCTTTACAGGG